CGCTCTGCGCTCCCAGCACTGGCGGGAGCCCCCGGCCCGCGCCCGCCGCCTGCTGTCACCACGAAGCTGACGGTGGCGGTGGTGGAGAGCGGGGGGCGGCCGCCGTCCGATATGACCAGCAGAGCCCGGAACACGCGGCCCGGGGGCTCCTGCGAGAGGTCGCCGGTGAGCACGATCTCCCCCGTGCGGCGGCCGATGGCGAAGGCTTCTCGAGGCTCCTGCTGCAGGAGGTCGAATGCCAGCTCCCCGTTGGCGCCTTCGTCCACGTCCCGGGCCTGCACGCGCGCCACGGCTGTGTCCCTTGGGGTGCGCCCGGGGACCGCCACTTCCAGGGAGCCGTTGGCCGGCGCCGGGTGCACCAGGACCGGCGCGTGGTCGTTCTGGTCCAGCACCCGCACTTGCACAAGGGCGCTGCTGGAGAGCTGAGGGGAGCCACCGTCGCTCGCCTGGACGCGCACGTCTAGCTGGCGCAGCGTCTCGTAGTCGAAACTGCGCAGCGCGTAAATGGCCCCGGTCGCTGGGTCTACCGATACGTAGGTGGACACGGCCCCCCCGGCGTGGCCTACCTCGGCCTCCAGCAGCCGGTAGGTGACCTGGCCATTGCGGCCCAGGTCCGGGTCACGGGCGGCCACCGTGGCCAAGTAGGCGCCGGGCGGGTTGTTCTCACGCACCGACACCTCGTAGACCGGCCGGGTGAAGAGCGGCGCGTTGTCATTCTCGTCGCCCACGCGCACCGTGTAGGGGCGCACGGTACGTAACGGGGGAGCGCCGCGGTCCTCCGCCACCAGCGTCAGGTTGTACTCGGCGATGCGCTCGCGGTCCAAGGATGCCGCGGTCACCACCAGGTAGCTGCCCGCGTAGGCCGGCTGCAGCCGGAAGTGCTCGTGCCCGTAGAGGGCGCAGCGCACCTGCCCGTTGGCTCCCGAGTCCCTGTCCGAGGTGCTGACCAGCGCCACCAAGCTCTCTCGCGCCGCCCCCTCTGGCACCAGCGAAATGGCACCGGCCTCTGGAGTTCCTGGCCCGGTTGACGAGGTCGCGTCCGTGCCCCCGAGAGCAGCGGCGGCGGCGGCGGCGGCGAAGGGCGAGGCGGCAGGTGCGCCTAGGGCAGCCAGCGGGGTGATGGCGATGTCCGGCGCATTGTCATTGACGTCTCGGATGCGCACGATGACCTTGCAGGTGGCGGTGCGGGGCCCGGGGCCACGGTCCTGCGCCCGCACGTCCAGTTCGTAGGTGTCCTGGCGCTCGTAGTCCACGGGTCCCGCCAGGGTGAGGCGGCCTGAGCGCGGGTCGAGGCGGAAGAGGCGGCGCGCCTCGGGCGGGGGGCGGGCGGCGGAGG